CATGCAGCATCTTTCATCTCATGTTTCACTTATTATACTTAAGATGATGCCCTTCAGGTTTATCCATATTGTCATAATGAGTTGTTATCAAAAAGACAAGAAAACATGGTCCCACTGCAGTCCGGGTCTGTGTTGAAGTCCATCGCCCATGTAGATGCTGGGGTCAGGTCAGTCGTCTGAGTTCATGTTGGGGCCAAAGGAACATGCTGCACCCGGGGCCATGTAGATCTCAGGGGCCTATTCTGCTACTGGATGCCATGGTGACATTCATGTCTGGGTCTATGACCCTACTGGAGCCAGGGTCAGTGTTGATATTTGTGGCCTTTGTCACCTCAGGGGACCATGGGAACCATGGCTGATGGAATCAGAGGGCAATACTGAGATGACCCTGCCCGTTGCTGGCCCTATAGTGGGCCTTGTCCCTTTCTGGAAGCTGCAGCAGATAAACTGGCCCCTACCCTCATGGGAGAGCTCCGCCCCCTTCGCACTTGGAAAAGGTGGCCCCAACCCTCACCATGGGCTGGGGAAAGCTGATTCTAATGTCACCGGCATAGGAAAGCTGGCTCCAACCATCTCCTGAGAGGGCAGGCCCCAGTGGCCTGGACTTAACTACCACCCAGGTCCACAGCTGGGCCTGGGGTTGGCACACCCTAACATCTATCCCACGTAGGACCTGCTGGAGCTCATGAAGGGACTGGTGATGTGGAACAATACCAGCAGGATCTCCATGACTCAGGGTGGCTGCAGCATACCCCAGACAAGTTTTGCTGAGGATCCAGTGATGATGGTGTATCAGAAACCAGAGGCCTTGAACCAGGCCAGTGACTCACTGCAACAAACATTTGCAAGTAAAGCTGATTAGACAAAAGGGTGTACAATGTGACACATTGCAGCTCCCAATGCCACCAGGATGAATGAAGGAGATGTTGGAGAGGCAGGAAAGACGGAGGAAGGAAGAGGTGTTTTTTTTTATTATTATTATTATTTTTTTGTTTTTCTCTTTGTGTTTGTTTGCTTGCTTGTTTTGATTTGATGTTTTAATGTTCATTTAGGGGGCATTTAGGGGGCACTGCAGAAGGGGGGAGGTATGAAGGAACTGGGAGGTGAGTGGAATTAGGGTGCATGATTTGAAATTCCTAAAGATTTAATAAAAAAGGGTGTTAAAAAGACAAGAAAAATGTTTTTCAGTGTGTAGAGAAAAACCTTTCACATGGGTGTTGGGAAGGTAAAGTAGATCAGCAGTAAATTAGAAAACGGTAAGAAAGTTCTCTGAAAATTAAAAGTATGAACATGACGTGACCCAGTGATTTAATAACTAGATAACCTAAGGAAATTAAATCAGTATTTTGAAGAGATATTTATACTCTTGTGTTCATGTAGCATTATTCTCTTGTGAAAATTAATATGAAATATTCTACTTAATCTAATAACAAAGATTCATGAGCTTAGTGAATTGATTACAACTGTGAAAAATCAATAATTGGTTTTGTGTCACTGAAACAAGGTGAAAAGTGATAGTGTAGTCTCATTGTGTATAAATGTGTGTGTATATATATATATTACTATGCAATCATTGATTGATTTATCAGTTTCATTAGGATGGAAGCTTCATGAGAATGGAGACGTCTAGCTTTTCCACTTTTAAGAGTGCGAACAGATCATACCACACCCTTCCCTTCATGTCATGTACAAATAACAAAACACGCTGAGCCAACTGTCAGTGTCTATTTTCAAAATTACAGTTTTCAAACATTCATAGGGCAGTTTTAAAGCCTGAATGAGGACCTGTTTAAAGAGTGAATGTTCGGATATGTAAAAGGTGGGTGAAAATATGGAACATGGGAGCCGGGACTCCACATCAGAAGATGGGCTTGGAGAGTAGAGGCTTTCACACAACTCCCCTCAAATTGGCGCCTGCATAGACAGCATGCAAAGTAGGTGTCATTTCCCTTCTATTCAGAACGAGGCATTTCTTCTGTCTATATGCAGTCATCTTACAAGTGGCCTGGAATTAACTCCAGGATGGGGAATGTTGATAATGGCAGGATGGTTTATCAGAAATTCTCCCTTCTATAAGAAACCCCTTTGCCTGGATATTTTATCTGCAAGTCCAAGGAAAATCTTTATGTTGTGTGCAGAACAGGGTGAGGGAAGGAAATCAGTGTCTGTAGAAGTTTTATGATATATCTAGGAATGAATTCTACGATAATCAGTTTGTAAATGGTAGTGAAACTGATGGAAAGAAGGAATATTTTCTATAAAACTTACTAAGATCTTGTACCTTGTGACTAACAAAGTTAGAGCATATGATTCAATAGCTTGTTAGTACGTCAGAAGAGTCATACAATCATGATGATATTCTAATTTTAAAATGTTTCCATTGTCCTCCAAAGCAATGTTATGCTCCGTATCAATCATTCCTCATCTCCCTTGGTGCTTCAGGCCATGCTAATCACTAACGTGTCCTTTGGCAAATACATTTGTCTATTTGCGATATTTTTGAATAAGCTGAATCATAGAATATGGTCCTTTGCTTTTGGCTCCTTTCACTTAGTACAAACAATGTTGAAGGTTCATCCCTGTTGTAGAATTTAGCAGTATACGATCATATTTCCCATTCCTCATCCAACTCTCCTTGTATCCGCAACACATTCCTTCCCAACTTCATTCTTCCTCCCCTTCTCCTCCTCCATTTCTTGATAACCTGCTAAGTTCAGTTAGTGCTGGCTAGAAACTTCCTGTGCTCCAGAATAGAAGAAACCAATGTTTGTCGTTCAATGTACTCAGTTAATGGTATTAAGTTACAGAAATTCAAGCAGATTAAGGCATACATATTCTTTGGAGCAATGTCTTTTGCCCAAGGTCATCTTTTCTATGTAGGTATCTAGCTACATCAATACTATTTATAGAAAAATAATTGTCTGGATTTTATGTATGTGGTTTATGCACGCCTATGTGCATGTGTGTGGGAGCCTGCGGAGGCCAGAGGTCAACTCATGATTATATTTCCTCTATTGCTCTGCACATTGTTTTCTGAGACAGTCTCTTCAGTGGACCTGAAGCTCACTGATTTGGCTAGAGGCAGGCTTGCCATTAACCACCAAAGTTCTGCATGTCTGCAACTCTCAGCACTGGGGATATAGACATATCCCATCACACCCTGACGGTGGGATCTGAATTTAGGTCCTCACGCTTGCATGCACATTACCTACTGAGCCACATCCTCTTTCCCTCCTTTTTGCTTCAGTGCCCTCATTGAAAATGACTATAATTTTGAAGGTTTATTTTTAATTCTTTATTTCATTTGTTTGTATGTCACTGTACTTATAATAACTATCTCTTTTACTCTTAATTTGTAATAAATTTTGAAATTGAAAATCTAAGTCCTATACTTTTTTAGAGCTAGTTTTGGTTATTGTGAGTCCTGGTAGATTCTATATGAATTTTAGGATGATAATGTAATTGAGGCAAAGAAATCAGTATGAATTTTCACAAGAATTATGTTGAACTTGTAAGTCAGTTTGAGGTATATAATCATCTTAGTGATATTATGTCTTATAAGCCATGAATATGGGTATTTTCTTGTTTAGAGCTTTCCCAATCTTTTTTAATCAATATCTTATTGTTCTTAATGGGAAAGTCTTGCATTTTCATAAATATATTTCTAATTATTTTGTTCTTTTCTATGCTACAGTTAATCAAATTATTTCCCCCTTTAACCCATCAGTTTTGTATTTAGAATCCATTCACAGGAATTGTACTTGGGAATATGGCATGACATTTCTATATATTAACAGTGTATAAATCAGATGAGGGAATTGGTATAGCCATCACCTCAAACATGTATCTGTATCTTTGTAAGAGCGACCGTCAGGAATGATTTAATTTCCTTTTCAGATTGCTCCTTTGATTCTGTGTACTGCTATAGTTTGAATGTGTCTCCAAAAAAGTATGTTTTGAAAACTTAATTCTTACTGTAACAGTGATATGAGCCTAGTGGGAGGCGCTTAGGCCACAAGGCCTCCACCCTCAAGAGTCTATTGCTACTGATTGTAAAAGGACCTAAGTTCCGAGTTTGATCTCTTGTTTCCTCTCACCTTCTTCTGGAATGAGGTACAGAAAAAAGGCTCTCAAGAGGTGCTGGGTCCTTGATCTTGGACTTCAAAGCCTCTAGAACTATAAGATAGTACATTTTAATTCACTATAAATTACCCAGTCTTGGGTACATTGTTATAGCAGCTCAAAATGAGCCAAGAGATATATCAACCTTGGATCTGGAAACTATTTGGACAGCTGTGATCAATATGAGAAGAGCGAAGATATATTTAGGATAAACATAGAATCAAGACTATAAAATAGTTACTTTTCCTGGGTATGTTTGTGATGTATTAGTGCTTCCAAACTTTAATATTAAACACATGAATCTCCCAAGAATTTAATTAAAAATCAGACTGTTGTCATGGGCCTTGGGATGGGGCCTGGAATTCTGCCTTTCTAGCAATGCCTCAGAGTTTTTATTTTATTATTTGCAAATTAAAATTTATTCCAAATTATAATACCTACAGTATATTATTTCCCCATTTGACAGATAAGACGGGAGGGCAGGGTAGCGGAGGGAAGGCTATGATGCTTGTGCCACTATTGTACCAGGTGGATTGTTTTGCCAGGCCAAGTGTTACTGTGGCCTGAAGGATTCACAGCTGGGTAAAACTCGTGGTTATTTTTATCCTTCAGTAGTAGGAGTAGGAGTAGGTGTCTAAAAGCTAGTCCTCTAAGAAGGCTATTGCAGACTGCTGTTTTACTGGGAATAATGAATGGTACAGCATTAATACCATCCTTAGGGTGTCAGGCTATAAGTTTAAGACTATGGATAAGGCTCTGGCCATATAGCTATGTAGGGAAGACTATAGATAAGTAACCACATTTTTCTACTATTTTTCATCAGAATACTAGATAATTGATATTCCATAAGCAAAACATAAGAGACAGTCTCTGTTGTCCTTAGCACCTTTTATTGAAGTATGACCCTTGATGACAATATGGCAGGCATATCAATGTCAGCCAAGAGGGGAATGGTGGAGGACACAAACACACAAACAGTAAGAGTCAGAAAAATAATAGCATTGCATGGGATCGACAACTCCCCGAAATTGTACAGCAAACACTGATTCTTTATCTATATACACTGCCCCATGCCCCACCCCTTCTAAGAATTTAATCTTCAAATAATACCATATTCTGCCACAGAATTATTATTGGCAATGAGAGGGAGTTGCCAAGTTCCACATGGGTAGAAGTAGCCAGAAGTATACCCAACTTCTTCCATTTGAGGTTTGCTACTAGAAAAGCAGCACCCTCGGGGAAGGCTAGAGTTGAAGATGGAGTTCTGGTACCCCTTACACATCTTTTTTGGCACACGAAGTTAAGTGGCAAACAGAACTATGAACCCAGTCTCAAAAGAGGCTTTTTATGTTTTTACTCTCTTTCCTTTCCTATGCATCCAATTGCTCCCTTTTTAGGGCTTTAATTCCAGTATAGCTGTCTCATCCTCTAAGAGTCCTCTAAGAGTCTACTTGGGTATTTAATTTATATCTTGACTGAGTCTTCAATCATTTGACTTGAGGAGCATCTGTTATCTAGAGCCGGGGGATGGGGGGAGAATGGGTGGATGACAGCGATCTTGCAATGGCTCTCTTCTATCCATCACCTTGCTTTTCTATTATCCAGTGAGGTTTATGTAAGTTATTTGAAGGGAAAGAACGAAATACCAGTAACCTTTGGGTGGGTGTTGCCAATCTTATGACCTACTTTCATGCCGCTATCTCCTCAGGGGCCTTGGAGGATGGCTGATCCTAGAAACCAAGACCAGAGAGAGCTATCCCATGCCAAGTAGCACTGGCACTTTGCAGCAATGTTCCTCACTGTGGAGCGCCACAGCAGAAGAGGAGGGCATGCCAGTGTCAGTTGATTGAACTTTGCTACTCAGCTTATTTTTGAGGTTATCTTTCAAATACTTTGGAAACTCAGCCTTGTATTATGAATCCGACTCTACAAACTCTTGAGGTGAGACGAATGACAAAAATGAAAGTTAAGGCTTTGGCTGTAGTCCAGTGATATAGCACTTGTCCAGTATACACAAGGCCCTGGATCCCACTTCCAACAATGCTAAAACAACAAACACACACAAACCACAGTTAATAGTATTTTTGGTATCATATACTTAAGGTATAAGAAACATAACAAAGGCTAAAAATACCCAGCCTATGGCCATGATATCAAGCACAGTGACTGCTCCTGGTTCTACTATAGCCAAACAATCTTCAAAAGATAAAACACATAACTCTCATACATCTTCGAATGATACAACACATAACTCTCATCATCCTCGGATAAGACATCTGAACTGTTTTATCGATTGTCCTAGGGCCCATTATTAAAAGAAGGCAAGGTAAGTGTGGCCTCTATTCAAAGCATCTCCTCACCTCTCCCAATTTCCCTTTGGGTAAGTACTCAGCCATCCTGAATAGAACAGGCTAGAACAGCACAGCACTGCACTACATAGCCATTCCCTCACACCACAGCACTGCAGAGGACAGCACTTCACACCACAGCACTTCACGTGACAGCACTGCATAGCACTTCACATCATACTACAGCACTGCACAGCACTGCATAGCGCTTCACATCAAGCCACCCCACTGCACTTCACATCACAGCACTGCAGAGGACAGCACTTCACACCACAGCACTTCACGTGACAGCACTGCATAGCGCTTCACATCACAGCACTGCACAGCACTTCACATCATGCCACCCCACTGCACATCACATCACATCACAGCACTGCACTCCACAGCGCAGCACTGCACAGCTTTGTACAGCACTTCACATCACACCACAGCACAGTGCTGCACAGCATAGCACAGAATAGCGGCTACAGAGCTTCATGCTCAGTATAGATTTGGGGGTTATGCTTTAAACAGTTTGTAATCTTTCACTTGAGGGGAGAATGGCGGTACTGATATAGCAACAGTGGTTATTGTAGAGGCAGCAGTACTAAGAAACAAAAGCATACCCGGCAAACCACAGAAAAGGTTGCTACCCCTTAGAATACCCTGCAGGCCAAGATTCTCCCAAAGCTATCAGACACAGCGTGGAGATAATGGAAGAAGTGGCCAGTATTTGTAGCAGCAGTGAAGTTCCGTGGCAAATTCTTTGGTTGAATGAGGTAACATTACAGCTACAATGAACCTCCGAGGACCCTGAGGAACTCAGCAGTGATGTGGTGATGCCTGGGCTGGGTGGTTTGGGGCTTCTGTTGTATTGTTAGGGATAACATCAAGGACTGTACCCAGTTAGTAAGGAACAGAAGACTGAGCTAAATAAAAAGGCAGTTTGGTAGTGATTCCCCTCTTGCTATTGTCCTCCTGAATGCCTTTCCAGGACAGAAGCTGGCTACCAATGGCAGGTCTTGGCAAAAGCAACAGTTTCAGTTCTTTGTACATTAGTCTGTGGTTTTACCTTCCATTCTTTCAGTTTTCATGATCAACCACAGTTTGACGATATTACATGTAATATCATAGAGTTAAACTGATTAATTTTAAATTATGTGCCATTCTGAGTAGTGTGACAGGATTTTGCTCCATTCCACATGGATCATGAATCATTTATTTATCCAGTGTATCCATGCTATATAGGCTACCTCTCTTCAGTCACTTAGTCCCCTCAGTGACGAGATTAACAATTGTGGTAAATACAGGGTTTGGAACTAGCCAAGATTTCAGGCGTCCACCAGAGAGGATGCTTTAGCACACAGGCCCAGAAGATAAGGAGGGATACTGTATGTCTAGATCCTGGATGGATCATAATTTTCTCTGGAGCCTGGCCCTGGCTGAAAACTCTCACAGATTTGCTTGCTTGAGGCTCAGCACTGAAAAAGCAGTTGTTGAAAGAGTGCCGTCCACACTTACTCTCACGCATTCATGCGTCCTGCATTGTTCAGTCTTAGGAGAGTACTCTGGCTTCAAAAGGCAGTTAGAAATCATTGAATGAACTCTGTTCAGGAATGCTATGACCATCTAGACCGCAAGTAAGCACACAGCCAAGCTATGGTGGGGAAGCTGTGAGTTCAAGGGGAGAACTTTCTTGGACACTTGAAGCTATGGTAGGAAGAATTCAATGTCTGGACACTTGATTACTTAGCCAGGGTGGACTCAGGCTTATCTACAGAAAAGGTTTTCCTTCTGGCTAACCTCCCCCTCTCTAATGCATCTCTTCTTGCCTTGTGAAAGAGGAAAAAAGATAACATAAAAATAAATAAAATCAAAGACCATTTGAAATATAATAAGAACCCTCTTCCTCAATACTGAAGTTCTATCCAGAAGTCAGTTGCAATAGAAATATTAGAGAAGAAGAGAGTCAAGTCCTGGCACATGACTCCTGGAGATTCAGGGCAAGAAACGAAGTAGCAGGAAGGCCATAGCAACAACACTGTCAACTGTCAACTGTCAAGCTGTTGGGGAGGGTAGACATGGAAGTACTTTGTTGAAACCTGGGTTTTACTGGAAGGGAGGATGAATACATGGGTATACCCAACATTTGCTCCCCTTATGTGCAATCTCTCCTTCTGTGCCTCCTGCTGCCAATTTTGGGAGAGGGCCTGAAGCTGGTGTTAGGTGAATGCATTCAACTCAAGCAAATCTGTGGACAATAGCTAAGCTAGGTCACTAGCCCTAGGGAAGGGGGACATTGCAAGGCAGATTTGCACTGACCATGAAGAGGGTATGTGGCAAGGGAGAGGACTGAGTCTGTGACGTCTTTGGTGTCCTAGTACAGAGATGAAGGCACTTTAATGGTTCAATGGGCAGCGAAGGGCTCCCACTCACTGGGAAAGAGCATGGTAATACAACCACACCTTGCTGCAGCCCTGGGGCCGTCCCAGGCTCTCTTTGGGGGATGGCTGAAACCATCTGCTAAGTACTTTCTATATACTTGGCTAGTGCACCTGCTACTGGAGACTGAAAGCACTTTCCCCTGCAGCTGGGCAGGGGTGCAGGGGCACCCGCAGAATTAGAAATTGTTGGGCCCCAAGTTCAGGCTCTCTTTGAGGCATTTAAGTTGCTCTTCCCCAAGTTTAATCTTCTCCTCCAGCTCTCTCTGTTCAATGATGAGTGCAGACTTCATCTTCACAAAGTGCTGGTAATCTTGGAGCTGGTCCTGAGGCAGGTATCGGGAGACCATGCCGAACACCAGCTTCTCCCGGCGGTCCACGTGCTCCTTCAGCTCCTTGGCATCTGCCAGCTGGCTTGTCAGCTGCTGCTTCTTCTCTATCAGCACCAACTGGGGAAGCAGAGAACCAATTAAATGCTATCCCAATCCCCAGGCATCTGCACAGCAGTCTTCCACCAAGGAAGCACCTATGCATTCTGCTAATTAACCAGCCCTAGATTTCCTGTTCTGTAAGCATTTACATACAAAGCTCCCTTGCCTATAGCTCGAGAAAGGCAAGCACGACAGCACTTTGGGAAAGGGGGTGTGTGCAGTCACATCTTTCCATCTCTAAGGCTGCCTTTAAAGCATGGATCACCACTTGGTTTGGTATGGAGGAAGCCTCTCGCCAAGTTGAACTAAGTCCCTTCCATTTGCTGAACAAACACCACTGTGGTGATGGGTTCTGTATGGTGTCTCTGTGTGAGTGGACGTGAGTGGGGGTGTGTATTTGAAGGTGTGTGCACGTGTACGGGGCCTCTTACCCTGGATCAAAGCTCCTTGTATAGGGCAAGGTAATGGAGTTTAATTCAATAATAACAGAATGAAATAACCTATAAAATGGAGGGCCCCTTTGCAATTCTAAGGGGATCAGAGGCAAATTTACGCCTGCTGCTGCGGCTATTTCTGCTTCTGCTACCACCCCCACCCCTATCATTACCATCACCATCAATCACCACCACTAACAGCTAGCACTGATTCCATATGGACTCTGTTTTGGACACTATTTTATGCAATTAACTTGGATTATCTCAACCATCACATAAAACACATTAAGCAGGCTACATGCTTATTTCATTCTATAAATGAAGCAAGTAAGACAGAACAAGGCTAAGTAAGCTGCTTATAGTCACACAGCTAACCTGCAGAACATCTCGTGGTACTAAAAAGCCAATGCTCACACTCTTAATGCTGTTTTCTGGCTCCCTTAAAAGCTAAAGAGGCGTTTTTTGCAGCTACAGCCTCAGGAACAACATCTGTACCTTCTCCTGGCTGGTCTCTGAATCGATGCTGTTGAGAGCATTCTCTACCCGGGCCAGTCGTCCAGAGAGTGACAGCAACAGGTTGACCACTTTGTCCAGGTCCCCAATAAACAAATGATACTTTTCAAACTCATTGGATTTGCAGACAGCTTTTAAGTTGGCCTCTACCTCTTCTCCAAGGGCAGAATTGGCATTGATATCATCCTGGAGCCCTCGTTGGGCCTCCCGCAGGACAGAAAGTTTCCGGCCAATGCTTTCAATGAGCTGAATCTAAGGGAGTTAAACAGAAGACAAAAGGATGAACTTGGACTTCAACAGAAACAGATTTGGGCTTAGCAGAGCACACACCTGTATCCTGCACATGGATGGTGAAGGCAAGAATATTTCAACCTGGCCTATACACTGAGAACTTGTCTAAATGGTCAGACTAAAAATAGAAGGGGGAGGGAAGTTGGGATAGGGGAAGGAAAGACGGAATGGAGAATAAAGAGATAGAGTGAAACCTGAGCAACTGAAAAGCAATTCCAGGTTTCTGAGTTAGGTACCTTCCCTCCCTGTTTGATAGGAATTTCCATGTTACCACTAAAGCTCTTGGTATCAGATAAGCAGTACCCACGGACCAAGCCACATTGCAAAATGCAACTGAGACTATAATAAATGGGAGCTAGAGAGCTTCTGAGGCCCCAGATTGGAAAGAATTGTCATCAGATATTTGCTGATCACTTTATATGTTTTCCATTGGTGCTCATTACAGTGTGCTAGGTCCTGGCCCCCTTGGATCATTTTTGAGGCCTTTGAGTGAGAATGAAAATTCTGCAGTCACTATGACTCTGTTTGACCTCTAGATCTGCCAATTTCTATCTGAAGGACCTGAATGATTTGACTTAATTGAGCTTCACTTTCTCTCTTTGCAGAAGGATGGTAGGTAAGTGTTACGTTCATTACACTGAGTGGTAATGATTCAATAATAATTCATATGACTTAGCACAGAAAGTGTTCAATAAAAGGTAGGCCATTGTTATTATTATTGTCCAATATGACCCATTACCTCCACTCTCCGGACCCATTACCTCCACTCTCCGGAACCATTCGGGTTTAGCTCTCCACTTCACGATATTCACAACCCCCATTCTTAACTTTCTGAATTGATTCTGTAGCTCCATTTGCTCAGTTTCTCTGCAGTGGGCTATTCCTGTTCTTTCTCCAAGGCCCAGCTTTGCTCCCACCCTTTCTAGGGAAAAACCTCTTCTAGAAGTCATCTCTGAGTGGCCTCTTTCTTTTTGGAGCTTTGAAATATTTTACTGTTAGGGGTATAGCTCAGTCATACAGTTCCTAACACACATAAGATACTGACTTCCATACCTTGAACTGCAAACAAGCAAACAGAAACCTCCAAACAAAGTAAAACAAAACTTCTAGAATCAGACTTTACAGTGTGTGGTGGTTTGAATAGGAACGGCCCCCATAGGCTCATATATTTGAATGCTTGGTCATTAGGGAGTTGTACTAATTGAGAGGGATTAGAAGGCACGGGCTGGTTGGAGTAGGTGTGGCCTTCTTGGAGAAAATGTGTCACTGGGGGTGGGCTTTGAGGTTTCAAAAGCTTAAGCCAGGCCCAGTGTCTCTCTCTTCCTATGGATCTTCCTATGCATCTCTATGCCTATGGATCCAGATGTAAAACTGTCATCTGTAATGTCTGCCTGTCTTGTTGCCATGATGATAATGGAATAAACCTCTAAAACAATGAGCAAGTCCCAATTAAATGCTTCTCTTTATCAGAGTGCCTGTGGTCCTAGTGTCTCTTCACAGCAATAGAATAGTGACTAAGACACAGTGTAATTTTAACTTGTTCTAATTCTATTTCATGAGTGCAAGTCCAATCTCTTACTGTTTATTATGTTTCTCCAGGGAAGCACCTCCTATGTGCTAAGTTTTGTTGTGTGTTTTGTGTGATGAAATGCCCATGCAAAACAGCTTAAAGGAAGAAGAGAAGAATGGTGCACTTTGGCTCGTGGTCTCAGAGTTTCAGTTCATTGTGGCAGCCAGGAGCACAAGAGTGAGAGCCTATACTATAGGTTTGCCTGCCCTCACCCCTTTATTACATCTGGGTCCCCAGCCTATCGGATGGTGGCATCCCCAAATTCTGGGCGTGTGTTCACTCACCCTTTGCTAATCATCTGTGGAAATGCCTTCCAGAACTCCCAGAGGCCTGCTTTGCAGTCTCCAGGCACCTATCGATCTAATCAACTCGACAAAATTAAACACCACAGCCTAATCCTCTAATTTCCAGCAGTAATCAGTTGTGTGACTGCACTCACCAGAAGTCAATGGAGTAGAGTGGAATTTGAGTCATATAAACTGCTAGATACCAATCGTGCCTTCTACAAACTCAGAAACTTTGGATACAAAGTTTTCTTCTGTATCTATTAACTAGAGCAGTCTACTTTTGTCCAGGGCGCTGTGACAGTTGATAGTAAACATGATCGCAGAAGCAAACTATTTACTGCTGTGTCTGAGATAGTAAATGCCAAGCGCACATTTATTTGTGTTATTGTTATCATAAACATTATCATTACTATTATTATAAGGAAGTCAGGAATATATATCTAGGGGTTGGAGAGATGCATCAGTGGTTGAAATGCTTGCATGCAAGTATGTTGCGGGAGCTCCTCCCGCTCCTTCAGCCAATAGCCGCTGAGATACCAGCCCATTGGGGCGTGGTCTCTCTTCCTTTAAAAAAGCAGCCACTTCCCTCTCCTCTCTCTCTTACTTCCTGCACAAAAGAAGCCAGGCACAGCAGAATGTATCTGTAACCCTGACACTGGGGGATGATGAAAAAAGAGGGATTCCCAGAGTTCATTGATGAGCTAGTCTAGCCAATCACTAAGCTCCAAGTTTAGTGAGTGCAACTTTCTTAAAAAGAATAAGGTAAGAAACAACAGAATGAGAAACCCAGTGTTGACCTTCAGGCTACACATGCACATGTACACAAACATATATGTGTGCAAACATAACATCCTGGTGCAGATAAATACCAGAACGAGTACGAGTGAGCTAGGTAGGAAGCAAGAGGGAGTAAGCGCAAGTAGGTGAGTGAGTGAGTGAGTGGGGAGGGAGGGAGGGAGAGAGACAGAGAGAAGACCTTGTTTAACTAAGAGGTTCTGAATGGCATGATGCTATCTATCCTGGTTGCCTACAGATTTTGTAGCCAGTATTGCATTGTGGTTAAGATCATAGACTCTAGCAACAGATTGTTTTGAATGTCACAAAGTAGTGGTCTGACCTGTAATACATTATTCAACCTCTGTGGACTTCAACTTCTCTACGGGAAAACGTAGATAACAATAACACCCACATCACAGAGTGGTTGTAAGAATTAAATGAACTAGTACATGTTGAGGATAGTATCATATACACAGGAAGTAAGTTCCACTCAGTGTATGATTTATGATTATTGTAGTTTAAGCTTCTGGGATGGGTAGGTTTGGAGTGTTCCTTTCTAACAGTTCATTTGGAATTGTTGAAGGTGATCAAGACTAAGAGGTTCCAAAGCCTGCTGTCAAAAAAAGTCAGGGAATCATCATGTTTGTGCTTGGACGTGTGGGAAAGATCAGCAAACCTGCCAAGAACTGGGAGCCCAGGATAGGAATGAGGAAACATAACTAGGTTTCAAAACATCCTCGATTATTTTGTCACCTCCCATTCTCTCATACAGAAGTCAATGTCAGTGTCAAAGGATTTTCACTGACTCACCGGGGATGCCAACCCTTTGGGGACTGAGGAAAGAATGAAGATGGAGGGAGGGAGCACTTTGCTTTTCAGTACCTGGGTTCTGTAGCCTGAACCGTCAGCCTGGGGAAGGTGTATTGTACGCACTGGAGGAAGCTGGCCAGTCATTACAGGCTCAGCCAGAGCTGAGCTGTTTTCCTGGAACACTGCAAACTGACGACCTTCCTCCCCTTTCTTCCTAACACACAAACACTGCCCTGCCCCACCTGCAGCCATTGCAAATGACTCTCTGCTATTCTGTCCTTTGCCATTTCCAGTCATCTTTCTTCATTATCTTTGTCCCTGGAAAGTCCTGGCCTTGAGTAAGCAAGGAGCAGCTCTGCCATGTTCAAGAAACATAGACTCCAAGGAAGAGCATCTGGATCAATAAAATCAGATACTTCTATGGTCCAATTATTTCCCTGACATTTTGCTTCAGATGGGAAAATGGAAGGAGGGCTTCTGAAAATGGCCTTATGTTTTCCTACAGGTCATGTCCTGAAAGAGAAATATGGGCAGAAGAGCAATTTACATTGAGTTCACATGTCCACAAAATGGCAAATTGGGGCCTTTGAGGTTGCTATGACAACTCTATTTGCTTATGAGATAAAATAGGTAAGTGCAAGGGGGGTAAAATGATTCCAGGAACTTGATTAAAAAACTGGGCTACTGGTACTTAGAGGAAGAAAGGGAGACTTGGAACAACAACAACAACATCCCCATTTACCTATTTTGTATTTTCAAGAGATAATTGACCATCATTGCAAATAAATAATAGTCTTTCAGCCTATAATTTCTCCTTAGTCAGTCTGTTCTCTCTCCCAGAAACTTACAGAGAATACGAATTAATGGCACTACCATTGGCCAGAGCTCTGATGTGCCTTAGGCAGTGACTTAGGTTGCTTAATTCAAAAGGACAGAATGGGAGAGCAGAGATGCAGTTCTGCCTTTGAGTCCAGGACTCATTTAGTATGTAACCTTGGAAAAGGTAGTCCCTTTAACTGGTTACAAAAACAGTGGGGGCGATAGTAATACTTATCTGGCAGGGCTAGGGCTGTAACTCAGTGGGAAAACACTGCCCTAGCAAGTGCAAGGCTCTGGGTTCAGCCCTAGCACTACAAAAGAAAGAAAGTGTGGGAGGAGGGAGGTAGGGAAGAAGGGGAGGCAGAGTGAGGCAAGGAAGGAGGGAGGAATGGAGGGGAGGAAGGGAGGTTGACTGGAGATGCAGCTCAGTGCAAAATGCTTTGCTAACACATGCTAGGCCCCAGTGTCAGTCCCAAATACTTTAAAAATTTCCACTGAGACTCTTTGAGGTTGAGCATTTAGATCAGCAGCAGAGCACCAGTGCAGACCACATAAGGTCCTGGGTTCAATCTCCAGTGACAGACAGACAGACAATCAGAGAGACAAACAGATACACACACACACACCCCTCCCACACCGCTGTAGCAGGGTGGTTCTAAGGACTAGAGAGATAACAATTAGTGCTACTACTGTTGATCAGAGAATTAACTACGGGAAGGCTGTTTGATTTCCATACTGAAACACAGGCATGAAAGACATGCTAGAAGGTGTGGAAGGGCTAGTTGTTCTTCAGATACTGAGCTAAATGCTGGAAATCTTTGGGCTATATGAAAGTCTTACCTTTTTTTGAGCCAGTTCATAGTCAACTCCCTCCTCTCCCAGGCCTGCCTCTGCCATCTCGGGCTGCTCTTTTAATTTATTCAGCAGTTCTGCCTTGGCCACAGAGATATTATAATATGCTGAGTAAGAGGTAGAGATTCCTGGGCCCCCTGGAGGAGGTGAGAGGTGCTGAAACTCTTGTCTGTGGAAACAAAAGGGAACCATTTGAGCACTTTGTTCAGAGACCACTGATGTTTCGCCTTTCTTGGTTTTCTCTACCTGTAACATTTGACACCACTTCCCCTAGCTATTATAAAATGGACCAGAAGGCACTGTTAAAAGATGAACAGGTCACATGGAGGCTATCTAAAAGCAATGACAAACTTGTAGACAGTCTGTTTCCATATCCTTCTATGTGCCTGCCCTTAGGAGCTCAAAAGACATTTTTATCATTTGGCTCAGTCATTAACACACCATTAAAACAAAGAACATAGAAGACCTCCAAGATTAGTTCACAACCTTCAGGGAGGGATTGGGATGAATAAATGTGATCCTTTTGTCTGGTAACCTCTCCTCTGCCTAAGTGCAGCCCCTACTTGGCCCCGCTCTACCTAATCTGCTTGATTACAAAGGTACCCCATGGCTTTCCTCATACTCATTTCTTTTATCCTATTGCTACTCCTGCTTGAAATGGTCACCCCACTATTGATTTCCCATAGCGAAGAGGTCACCTGTGACCTCAGCCATGGCCACTATTTGGAAGGCAGGGATTAGTATCCCTGCCAAAAACTTCTCAGGGTCCATCCCATCTCTCACAGGCTCTTCTGACGCTGCCTCTTGTAGGGCAGCCCTTTGGCCTGAGAAGGGGCAGCATCCCTCCACTTCCAGAATATTCTTACTGGCCCAAGCCCCCTGCATGGTTGCAGAGAGAAATGGGGAGAGAATGAAGCCAGCGATACCAGGGGCTTGAAAAGTATAGCGGCAGAGCCTATTGCCTTGGGGTTACTGAAGCAGGAAGGTACATAGTGGTGCTTCACAGAGCCCCAGCCAGAGAAAGAGAATTTTTCCTTAGGAAAGAAGTAGTTCTGGCTCCTCTCTGGCTTGGACTTAGACTCTTCTGATAATAAGCCTTCTTGTCTAGTGGGAAAAGTGGGAAAGTGAAGGCTATTATGTCAGGTTTCAGTAATGAAGGGGTGAACAATTCTGCCCAGGGTTTATGCAAGGGAAAAGCCTACACTCACAATAGTGCTGTGTGTACGTTTGTATATATGCATGTACATAGGTATGTATATATGCATATATACACGTATATAGCAATATACATATACATATGTATGTACACACATATTCCCTTTGCCTAGCAGCTCCTCCTACCATCCACCTGTCTGCGTCACTAGCCCTTTCTAACCTCTAGCTGTTTGAGAGGGAAAGTAAGAGAAACTCATTAGTCATTTTTGCAGCTATTTGTAGCTCTTAGATAAAGGTCAAATATAATAGCTAAAAAGGCTCCACAGCTATTTACTGATTCATGCTATGCTGTCTCTTAATTCATCACACAAAGGCAACCTGGGCATGCCAATAATCCTCACTCTAGAGGCACTTTCTTAACACGGAGGGTTTCAAACTTAGAACTATTATATTAATACACACACAGATACACACACACACACACACACACACACACACACACTTCTTGTTATACCCCAGAAACTGTCCCAAGACAGGTAACACACATGTGCACAGCACACACATGTGCACATATGGACACTCACAACTGAATGCTTATCGTAACCACTTTACAGACAGAAAACATGAAGAACCAAGAGGGAACATTATATTCCCTAGGTGAGCAGCCAGTAAAGTGTACACCAATGATTTTCCCTTCGGCCCTGACTCCACATCTGTGCGTTTATCCTCTATTTTCTGTGATGACGACAAATGAACGGCTCGATACTCTACAAACTCCAGATTGTAAGGAACTTTTGAGCTGGACTATTCCTCTGATATCAGAGAAGAGAGACTATTATGGAGGGAATGCAAAGAAATGAGCTTTGAGAACTCCTGTCTATAAATTTATGGTACATATCAATTTCCTGGGTCAGAGAGTGTAACAATCCAAACTCAGGTGCTACGTGGAAAGTCAGTTTGTTGGCCAGCACAGCCCTGCACAACGTTACAGTGGATCGTATGAAGCACTGTACTCCAGGGTTCTTTTCCTCATTACCCTCATGAATAGGGAAGGCATTGCAAGAAATCTATAAGAACCTAATCTGAATTTGAAAGTAAACATTACATATAAGATCAGAACTGTCCATTGAGCACTGAGAGAACGTGCTTAGAGTTTGCAGCACAAACCAGATCTACACTGGAATCAGTTATTAGCCTGGAGCAACGACTGATTATTCCCACCACTTCCTCCCATACATGCTAGAGAATTTGTAACTAAACAGTAAATGTGTGGTAATGATACTGTGGCTTAGCATGGCTGAAATTTGGACATCTTTATTTGCTTTTCACATTGCAAACCTTAAACATCTACTGGCCTCAACACTCTCTATCTTAGACTTTCCTAGAGTCTGAAGAGAACTGCCGGGACCGACGATACTGAGATGATGCTGTGCGCTATGAGTTGGACTGCCTGCGATCTTGTGAGAAAGTTAGTTTCTCTCTTAGCTTCACTTTTCTCATCTGAAAGGTAGAGGGGAGTAGTTATAACTCTCCACTAGGTTCGTTAGGGGAGACTAAATCAATGTCCAAATAAACCCATCCTAAATGAAAACTACTTAGACTATACCTAACCTTCCAAAGCATACAGCTTAGCAGAGCACATTGTAGAGTAGCAGTCATTTCTCTCATTTGCTGACTGCCTCTGCTGCTCCTCAGTACCACTAAAGGTTGCTGTGAGACCCTTACTAGCTTAGGAAAAGGCCAACCTCCCCACCTTCAAATGCCACTTCTACTGAGTGCATGTTGCTTTGCCATCATTGTAAACCCTAAGAACGAGCATATCACATGTCAGGAATGATCTGTTCATGAAAATACTTAAAATCGGGCTCAGCACACAGTAAACAGGTGAAGAAACTTCACCTAGGATGGAACTGATGCTCTTCCTTAAATTTTTATCACCAGAAGAAACATTTAGAATTGATTTTTGCAGCTAGAAGCCAAGGTTAGGTGCAAATGAATGTATTCCCTTGCATCCTATAATTTCTTACAAACAAATCACTGGAGCAGGTTATACGATGTTTAGAAACAGTGATTTCCTTCTCAGTGGCTCAGGTGTCAGGACAATAAAGAGTCATAGAACTAGACCTGCTACTTCTGGTATACATTACCCGGTAAGAGAGAAGATGGAAGAACAAGATCTTTTGGAGAGAGGCTGCACAATGTGACGGAGAAGGAGAAGAGGAGGAGGAAGCAGGGAGGGGGAGGAGGACGATGAGGAGGAGGACGTGGACGACGAGGACAAGGATGCTGCAGCAGGTGCAGCTGCCTGGATTTAGAGGCAGATAGATCTGGATTTGAGTCTTTGCTGCACAATACTGAATTAATTAGTCCCTTATTTTGCTCAACTTCAGCTACCTCATTTGTCAAATGGGGATGATAATGGCCAACAGAGATGTTGGGAAGAATAACTTAAATAATGTACATTAAATGTCAGGCAGTGTCTGGCACATAGTAAGTGCCTAATTGAAAACTTATTTGATTATCTATTTAGCCTTTGAAATATTAGTTCAATGCCTACTATCTGCCAGGTAACCTTTCAATCTTCCAGCTGTAATACATAACAAGCACAACGCAGCTAGTTTCTGCAACATATTTTCCAGTTGAGAAGGAGCCACATGTGGTCTGCTAAGGGCTTCTCACAGAGCCCAGGAGCTGGGATCTATAAATGCTTTCCTTATGGCACCTCAGAGAACTGCTCAATCAGTGCCAGATAACCAAGTAACAAGATTAGCCTGTCCATAAAAGTCACATAAACAAGGTATTTCTAATAGCAACCACTCTCAGGCAAGGTCCTGCTATAAAAGGATTTAAAGAAAACAATTAGGGGACACCTGCCTGCTCATCCCCAGTGGAGTTTTGCAAGTGGGAATGGAGAGCTAAGAGGCCAAACACGGAGCAATGGAGATCATGAACACACACACACACACACACACACACACACACACACACACACACACGCACGCACGCACGCATGCACGCACACACACACACACACACACACAGTGATGCACAGATGAACACTCACATAGAAGTCAGTGGCAGCCCACAATCCTGTTTTGATCTCTCAGCCCAGCCAGCTAGCCCTGTCAACTGCTGCCTAATGTCTGGCAAAGCAAATCTGCAGAAGCAGGAGAACAAGAGGGAGAAGGAAGTGGAAGGGACAAAGAATGCCCTTGGCTGTTTAAGGAACCATCAGAGCATCTAGTTCAGCAACATCTTTCTTCTGGGGCTGGGGGAATGATTCAGAGCCCCAGGCTACTTTGCTAGAGCAGGTAGGAGCCAGGCTTTAGAAAAGGCCGAGGACAAGCCAAGAATGGCTTATGCTTTTGTGACTGGGGGTCAGATATTGGTGTATACCTTAAAGATCCATTGAGAAGCAATAGCATATTTTCTTAATGATAGGGATAAAACCTTGAACTTCATTTCCTGAGCACCTACTATGCCCCAAGTATCTGTTGATGTCCTTTACATGCAATTTGTTAATAGTCAGAACCTGGTAGAACAGGTACATTATCTTTCACACCTGTTTTCCAGGTAAGACGATCAGTGTTATACAGTTGCTAACTAACAGAGGTGAAATCTAATTCATGTTGCTGGCTGCCTTTCCTGGGACCCATTGTCTTTCCCAAACACTTACTTTGGGGTCACAGTGGCTTCCTGCTCAGTTGTCCTCCACAATCCACGAGCGCCATAATAGCAAGGAGGTTGAGCTTTCTCAGGCTGGGCTCCAGTGTGGCCCCTTACAGGAGGCACAAAATCACTGGGATGACGAGCAAAGACCTCTTGCTCTGGGAGACTCTGTGAGGACTGCCTTGAGGCCTCCAGGTGGCCCACCTTCAGGGGTTGTGGCTGTTCCAGGCCCTCATCTGGATTAGGGGCATGGGAACCAGTGGTTTCGGAACTAAAATACTGGGGTGGTAGGTCCTCTTCTTTCCGTCCCTCCTCCTCCTGCTCTTGCTCCTTCTTCTCATCTACTTCCTCATCACACCTCTGCTGCTGCTGCTGTTGCTGTTGCTGCTGCTGTTGTTGTTGCTGTTGCTGCTGCTGTTGTTGTTGCTGCTGCTGTTTCTGCTGCTGCTGGGCTGCACGGAAAAGCCTATATTTTTCCCAGTTGGGAGGAGGAGGGCGAGGGGGAGGGAAAGCCTTCTTTCGGGCCCCAAGGAGTTCTGGCTGAGTCTCACTGCCTTTAGTAAATGGCTCCCTCTGAGGCATGCCCCAGGCCCGGGGGTTTGGAGGTTCCAAGCTGATGTGACTCTCTGAAAAGGCTCGGTTTCGCAGTGGGCGGGGAATGGAGGCAACAGAACTCCCATCTTCATAAACTGAAGATTCCTCTGCTTTGTTCAAGGCGAGTTTGAAGTCTCCAAGGAGGTCAAGAGATGAGATTGCTTGGTAGTTTGACAAGTCCAGTGCTGGGTTTTCAAGGCAAGGGTGGAAGGGAGTAGACCATGAAAAGCTGGCCTTAGAATGAGCCATTTCCCTACAAAACAACAGAGAAGCATTGACCAAGAGAAGCATGTGGTAGATAGGCCCATATTTCGGATGACATCATGTCCACAAAGTTAAAATGACTACAAAACTCTAATAGATGTAGTAAGTGCAATGGCCATGGTGATAAGAATATAATTATGAATACAGCAAACACATTTTGTGCATAAACTAAGTACTAAACACTAGTGTATTGGTTCTCAACCTTCCAAATGCTGTGGCCCTTTAATACAGACCCCTTAATACATGTGGTGGTGACCCCCAATCATTAAAACTATTTTGTTGCTATTTCATAACTGTAATTTTGCCACTGTTAGGAATTGTAATGTAAATATCTGACATGCAGGAAATCTAAGATGGGGACCCTGAAAGGGTCCCAACTCAGGCTGAGAACTAAGACACTAGTGTACACTTTCAGTGCTTTCTATGTTCAAACTTATTTGCTCATTATAATACACCTAGGAGGTAGTTCTTACAGGTTGGATTTTAGAGTTTGGGAAAATGAGACATTGTTAGGATAAGTAACTTGTCCAGGGTTATAAAGGTTATGAGGTAGAGCTGGGATTTGAACTTGAACTGTTTAGCCAAAGTCAAAAATAAACACATAGCACCCCGACCTATTTATGGCACTCAGCCTGGAAATGCAATAATCTAGGACTTACAATCGTGGTTTTCCTGCTTTATTTGATTTCTCTCTCTTGTTTTACTACGCAGGTTTCTAGTGCTTAGAATTTGATTTCTCTCTCTTGTTTTACTACGCAGGTTTCTAGTGCTTAGAAATGTACAGTGATTTCCATAATGAATGCCCGTGGCGCCGCTTACTACCCAGAATCAGCACAATTTGATACTTTACTATGAAAAGTGCACGAGGTTTTCTTGTATCTCACTCCCCACTTCCATTCTCCTACTGCCTATTTGATGCAAGATAGATTAGAAATGAACTACATATAACTTCCCTGTTCTTACATGTGTGCTAAGAGTACTAAGTTATTCACAAGGATCTACCACTTTTGCTTAAAAATATTTTCTTCTGATCACATCACAATCTGAAATTTCAAAAAGAACCGTTAAATTATAGGCTTTTCTGAAAACTAACTTTAAAAAGTAGACAAACTATTCTGCTATCCAAAAATTGAGGATGGGATAAAGATGAGTTAATAACATGAGCAAATATGAACTCATATGAACTCAAAGAGACTGAGGCAGCAAGCACAGGGCATGGACAGGTCTGTACTAGGTCTTCCCTGCGTACACACACACACACACACACACACACACACACACACACAGCTTCCAGTTTAGTGTTTTTATGAGATTCCTGAGTGTGAGAAATGACTCTTGTGCCTTCTATTGGACTCTTTTCCTTCTATTTGTTTGTCTTATCCAACTTTGCTATGAGTGTTTTTGTTTTATCTAATATTTTATTTTGTTATATTAAAGTGAGTGAGTGAGTGTAAATCTAGACACACTGTAAGGCTAACAGCTGAACTGTCACACCTACTGGAACACTCACTGGGTATGTCAACCACTCTAGGGCAGGCATCATGGTCAGGGGCAGTTGACCAACATGTAATGGACTCCATAGTTTTGTTGTGTGATTTCATTTGGCTATAGTTTTTTTGTGTGTGTGTGTGTGGTAGCATGGTTTATTTTTCTTGGTTTTGTTGTTATATTGGGTTTTTGTTTGTTATTTTGAAAAATAATTTAAAGTTGGGTGGGTAGGAAGGAGGAGAGGATCTTGAAAAACTTCGGAGAGGGGAAGAATATGACCAAAATATACTCAAAATTATATATATATATATATATATACATATATGTATATATATAAAGGATAAGCAAGCATCTTATGAAACAACTGTAAGTAAAAGTATGTTATTAATTAACAGAACCAACCAGTAAATTTAGAAATAAAGTAAACTAATCAAGCATGGTGACACACACCTTTAACCCCAGTACTCAAGAGGCAGAGCAATGGATCTCTGTGAGTTTGAGGCCAACTTGGTTTACATAGTAAATTTCAGGATAATCAGGGTTAAATATACTACAGATTTCCTGTCTTGAAAACAAGAAATAAGGTAGACTATAAAAACATCATCTACATAAAACATTATAAACAAGGAGATAAAAATTATTCAGTAAATCTCTTGAGACAACTTTTGATCGGTGCTATACATGTGTATAAATACTTAATATTTTATGTTATATATTCATATAAGAAAAATTTTGAAATTTAAAATATGATCTTTTGTATGGAAAAATAATACTTTTAAGTTATAAAAGATAATCTCAAAGGACAAAGTCCAGTTTTATTTGAATATTTGTAAAATATCAGACTTGTATATGGTGAGATTTGTCAAAATGAAATGACTCTCTTCAGCTGATTATAAAGAGGCAAGCTCCTTAGACTTATGATCTGCTTTCCTATGGTAGCCTGCGAGCAATCAACATCATGCTGCGTCCTGCCTACTGCCAGGAACTTCCAAGGGTTCAATTATCAGCAGAGAGACTATGCATTCAACAGACATGATGATGGCTGGGACTATTTCTTTAAAAATAACAGTATACATAGTGCTAACCAAGCTGAGATAAAATGGGAACAAACCATCATTCCCCTCATCACTAGTTCCCACATGGATCAAAAGTTCATGCCCACTTATCTTCACTCTGCAGGAGCCTACCTGGAGACTCCTCATGCACAAATTATCCAACCTAGCATATCCTCTCCAGGAATAAAAAGAAAAGAAAAAGTAGTGAGTGGACAGCAAAAGGATGACCAATATATATCAGGTAGAGGGGGCCTTGCTGATTATTATTATTTTATTATTCTTAATTACTCCGATTTTAGTTTGCATTCATTCCTCTCCCAAAGGAACACCGCCACAGTGCTAACAACTGGAATATATGATAAAGATCTAATTACACTAATTCTTTCCCTTTTCCCTCCTTTCTCTTTAGGTATGAGCACATGCATATATGTATATGCCCCCCACTGTGTGTGTATGTGCGTGCATGTGTGTGTATGTGTGTGTGTGTGTGTGTGTGTGAGAGAGAGAGAGAGAGAGAGAGAGAGGAAGTAAGTCTTGTTACATAGTCTAGGCTAGCTTTGAACTTTAAATCCTCCTTTGTTAGCCACATAAGAACAACATTAAAGGCATATCTTGTTATACCCACAAGTCCTGAATATTTATGTAAAAAAAACCACAATCAAACATCATAAGCAAACTGTAGACAATGTAAAGGCAAACAAAGTCAGAAACAAATGTAAGACTGTTTCAACTTACAAGTTAAATAAGAGAAAACACTAACAAAGACTACATTTTCTCTTCAGGATCCCATTGAATATTTTTTAATTGCCTATATATGAACCAGAGGCAGTACAAACCACATTCTCAAATCATAATTGAGTATTACTGGAAGTTAATTCCAAACCTGAAATATGAAAATGTATAGTATATAGAAGACAAGCAGGAAAAGTTTTGCACTTCAGCTAAAGAAGAAATCTGGAACTGAGAACATCTAGAAATCATCCGAAGCCAGAGGATATGCTTCACTAAAGTGGTAGCTCAAGGAAAGTTTACAGCTCTCAACACTTAGCTTAGAAGATGACCTGGGAACACACAGCTCTAAATGGAATGTCTCCATCAAATCCTTCCCCTCAGATCTCAGGGAATCTCGTGGAAGAGGAGTCAGAAAGAGGAGCCAGAAGGGATGGAGGACACCAGGAGATCCCGGTCCACTAAATCAACATGATCAAAGCTCATATGAACTCAGAGACCGAAGCAGCAACCACAGGGCCTGCATGGATCTACACCAGGGCCTCTGTGTATATATTACAGCTTTCAGTTAGGTTAGTGTTTTTATGGGACTCCTGACTTCTTCTGTCTCTTGTGCCTTATCTTGGACTTTTTCCTTCTGTTGGTTTGTCTCATTCAACATCTATGTGATAGTTTTTTTTTTATCTCAGTATATTTTAGTTTGTCATGTTTTGCTGTTATCGCTTAGATTCCTGTTCTTTTTTAATGAGAGACAGAAAAGGAGTGGATCCAGAGGGGAGAAGTGGGAAGGAACCTGGAGGAGTAGAGGGAAGGGAAACTATAATCAGGATATATTGTGTGAGAGAAGAACCTATTTTCTATAAAAGGGAAAAAGATAACACCAAAGTAAAATAAATGAATTAAGTACTCAATCAACAAATTCTTTAAAAAAAATCCAAAATTAATCCAAAGCAGAAAAGTATTTTAAAAAATAGCAGAAATAAATAGAGTAGAAAATAAATTATATAACTAATAATGAAAGATAAAAACGGAGGGGTTTATGAAAGGGTTTGGAAGAAGGAAAAATAAGGGGAATTATATAATTATATTAAAATCTCAAAAACAAAAAAAATTAAATTTTGAAAAGAAAAATGAAAGAGTAAAATTGACAAATAATTTACTAGTCAGATAGAATACTCCCGATTGCTTTATATTGCTAACAGACAATATAAACATTTCTCATTCTTTATAGCCTTAAGTCATGAATCAAAAGTAAATTACAGAATTCAAAAGGAGAAATAAGTATAGATACACAATGAATGAAAACAGTAAAAAAAAACCTTTTGATATAACAATTTGGAAAACTTCGGACAATTTCCTGAGAAACCACCAACTGCCAACATTGACTGACTGGAAAAGAAACTATAGTTATCATAGGGAAAAACTCAAAGTAATTAACCAAAAGCACACAAATCACACAGTTTTATATTGTTATGCCAACCTTTAACGAACATACAACACTAATAAAATATACACTTTCAAGACTCTGAAATCTAGGGACGATAGAAGGGATTCAATTCCAACGAGAAGGAAATATAGAAAGAAACAGTAGAGACAAGTCTTTTTTAAGAACGTATACACAAAAACTTAAAGTGTTAGTGAAGAGAATCCAGGAGGATGTTAAAAAATACTACACCATAAACATGCAAGCTCATCTTAGAAATTAAAATTTCATTTA